TTCTTTGATTAATACAGATTAATTAGAATAGTTTCGAACTTAACAAGCTATCACATCTTGTAGAGCAAACAATTTTCTACAAACTGGTATACTTGTTGAATTTTCGCCTGCTCGTCTTCAGTCTTTTGGGCACCTTTTTCAGACAGCTCCAAAATCGATTTTTGGGACTGTTTGTACGACAGCTGTATTTTCATAACTAATCAACATTCAGAGCCAAGACACTTTTCATTTTGTTGAGAAATGTTTAATGTACTTAATTATGTAGTTGCAATTTTAGATTAGTTTGTAGCTTCACTGCAATAATCTTTTGAAAAAGAGCGAAAAAAGGATACCGTTAGCTGGACAAGCCGTTGACTTGTAACTTGGCATAAAAATCAAGCCAAGTCATGCATATTTTTAAATCTTATGTTTATTATTAAATATATTGATTTTTTCATGAATAGATAAACTAAAGTGTCATCTACAAAACAGGACCTAAGCGAGAGCTTCATCTGTCTTGTGTCGTTTTTTGTGTGTATTGTAAATTTTTTAATATTAGGTGAAAATTTTTCGAAAACTTGGTTTTCGCTAGATTTTAAAATCTTTTTTCTAAAAACAAATGTTGTCACGAGACTCAGCATGATTGATTATCTATAATGCACCCGTTCCTGATGTTGATCATAGTCGCCGGGTACCAGTACTACGACTCGAACGAAATCCGATACTATATCCGAACCACTAAACATCAAGATCTCGCTTAGTTTCCATTTTGAAGAGAACACTCTGAACTATCAACCTATGGAAGAAAAGCGATATAATTCTATTGTAAAAACGACTAGAAAATTCATCTGCTCCACATATAACTGTAAACTAACAATTAAAAATATCTTCAAAAGCCGACGATATAGTCAACATGCCTACCCTAATCAAAAGACTAATAATGTTTTCCACTGATAAAAATGATTTTAGTTATGTGATTGTGGTAAGAATTGTTCACTAAAGGAAAACATAACGTTTTTTGATTATCTTAAATCCTTCTCAACTTCGATTATGTTTCGCTTGTATTTTATACGATATACAACAAAAAATTGATATCCCGATATAACGACGGTAGTTTAACGTTACTTAAGGAATAGACTCAATTCTGATTCCATGCTGATTATGTGACAGTATCAACTACTCATAGCGTCGTAAAGTGAGATTGTATCAGTTGAAATGTGAATACTGCTGGAATCTAGAACTTGTTATGATCCAAGTTGTATTCAAAAGATCATAAGCAAAGAATGTTGCTGATGTTTAAAGACCTAAACCTAACAATGATGAACTTTAATCAGTGATATGTGAACAGTTTTTACTTAGAAGTACCTGGCCTAAGTTTTATATTTACAATTGTTTTCAGTGGAATGAATATTTTAGTCCTTTAATCAACGTATTACGTTCTATCAATAATCTATGATGGTTGCGACGATGTACGGGAATATTTACTGTAACGATGTTTTAATGAAATGTGAATGAAATTTAGCTAAGACTAAAACAAAGATATTCATCACGAACTAAACGAAGTCGTATTGTGCTGTTATTTTACACACATCTTTTATCATTCATATTTAGTTTATAACAGGAGCTTAACAAATTAGGAGATATGTCTTTTCACACAAGATATATCTTGTATGAATATTGTCAAAATCTAATTTAAACAGAGCAGCGACAGAGTAGCGAGGATATTGGAATAGAAGGAGAGACGTAAAAAAAATGTTGACTCAGCGAACGTATGAAATTTAAAAAAGTCTCTTTCAAGGTACATGTTGTTTACTGATATTTTATTGAGCCTAGAAGATAGTGAAATATTAACAAGGTCTGTCCTGCAGTTACTCATTTGATTTAATGTAACAATGACAGATAATCACCTTTATAATATATAAAATGACATTTCCATATTTTAGCTAAAGATTAAAATATTCTGATAGTCTTTAAAGGGACAAAATAAAAAAAATTCAATTATTATGAGAGAGAAATGAGAGATAATGAGAATTAATGAAAGATACTATGAAAACAAATACAGACCAGTGAGAATACCATCGTATTTTACATGATCTTCAAAAGTAAATTATAACTAATATGCAAGTAAATATTTCATCAATATCTAGTAGAGAAATAGTCATCTTTTAACAAAATATTGTCAGTAGTTTATCAACTATATTCAAGTTACACGGATTTCCGTAGCAACACATTTCAGTTGTATTTCACAAAAAATGAAACAAAATTTGCTCTACAATTAAAAAGCTAAATGAACAACATAAATTCGTCATTAACACCTTCAACATATCCTTGCTCTCATCCGACAATGACAACAACAATAAAGTCCACTGGTTCGTTAACAACAACTACTGTCTCTTGTAATCCATCTGAAGTTAATTTGAAATACTTAATGAACATATCAAAAATAAATAATAACAGTGAAATAGAATATGATAGACGGATGGCTGATACTCTAATGAAAAGTGTATTAGAACTTTGGTCAACAAATTCACATTGTGACTTAACCATTTATCTAAAACAACACAATCTAAATAAAATAGCATACAAACGTTATCGTGCACATCGTTTTGTTCTGTCGAGTGTATGTGATTCAATAAATATTGTTAAAGAAGAGAGAAAATTTTCAAGAAAAAAAACAATTAATTATGTTTGTTATTTAGATTATACACCTAATCGTGGTCTTGAATTATTACTCGTTTATTTATATTCATCCCGTTTAGTGTTAGACATAGAGAGTGTTAGTGATTTACTAATAGCATCAAATGAATTGGGGGTGAAACATGTATTTCTAAGATGTATACAATTTATATGGGATTATATTGACGATTTATTATCAATCGATGTTACTCGAATTAAACAGGTGTGACCACAGGGGACGCCGCGACAACAGAAGTAGAGACAGGAGTCCTCTCCCTGCTTTTTTGAAATCCTTTACTTCAAAATGCGAAAAGTTTTTGCTCTGGAATTGAGATCAACAATCAATATCAATTGGCGTATGGTAATAAAGATAACAGGATGTAGAAATGAAGAGGAAAAACTCTCAGCTCTGATTTGGTAGTTCATAATGAGTAATCGTTGATTACTTTATTATAGACTACCAAATCAGATTGATTACTCATTATGAACTACCAAATCAGAGCTGAGAGTTTTTCCTCTTCATTTCTACATCCTGTTATCTTTATTAGCATACGCCAGTTGATATTGATTGTTGATCTCAATTCCAGAGCAAAAACCCTCGGTTTAAGACTAAACATCAACATATTTTCTTTTTTGTTTACAAGAAAATCTGGTACGACTCACATTTTGAAAGCGTCTTTCATTTTGCATTCTTCTTGCTCTCTTTTACTACCTTTGCTCGCAAATCCTGCGGTATAAACGCTTGACCTTTCCCATCGAAACGCCTTTGTCCGCTGAGTTACTCTCAACGGCAAAGTTTGAGGCTCAGGTTTTCAATCAATTGCTCCGATTCAATGAATCAGTACATTCTACTCTTAAATTTAAAGGAGTTATGTCTTAGAACGTTTTCTATATTAAAACTTGTGTATTTTTAGACAAATCAGATATTTATTCTCATTTTTAAAATTTTTTGATTTACTCCAAAATCGGAGAACTCCTCCCCCCTCTACGCGCCTCTTGTACTGCGCGGCGTCCCTGGTCGGCCAACTGTTGTTTTAATCTTATGACTAAGCTTTAAAGTTTTATTATTGAAAAACAGGTGTTTTCCTCTTCGAAAAAAATCCCTGCTGAATCTTTTCACTATTACAAGAGATTTACTGTTCACTTTTTGCCTAGGATAGTCGATGCAACAATCCGAAGTAAATAGTTCATCATCTCAATTAAATCATGACAATCTTAAACGTCGGAGTGTTGATCCTTCAATTGTGTGGCGACATTTATGTGCATCAATGCTAATTAATTATAAACCATTACAAACTAAACTTCTTTATTGTATTGGTCATTTGTATTCAACAACCTGCAATGGATCTTACTTTCTTCAAGTTAAACCAGAATTATTTGTACAAATATTCGAATCATTATTTAAAAAAGAATTTAATTATGAAAATTTACTTTTAAATGTAACGAAAAATAGTTTATTAATAACCAAAGATGAACAATTAAATGAAATATCTCCATCATTGTCTTCAATGTCTATCTCTCATTCAACTGTGTTTGATTCACTATCAAAATGGTCATCATACAAACGAAAGAAACGTCAACAAACGTTTGAATATTTATGTTTGAATTATATTCAATTTAGAAGATTTTCTACATATTACTTAATTCAGATTGAAAAATATCAACAAATACGATCAAGTTCAAAATTAATGAAACAACTTTATGAAGCACTAAAATATCATGCATGCAAAAATTATCAAGAATCAATTGGTTGGTACGAAAATACGTTTTGTCTCTCTATCAATTTTGTTGAAATATCTACATCATCATTTTATCTATATTTATTTTTATGACAGATACGTTGGACTATAATAAAAATCAATTGGAATCAAATGAGAGAGAAAGTTTAAAAGAAAAATTTGATAATGTTCGACAAAGATTTCGTCAATTGCTTGAACAACAATATAATACAATTGATCAATTAAAGTTAAACGATATATCAACATCATCAAAAAACATTTCATTTCAAGCACGAAATCAAAACGAATATGATAAAGTAAAAGTTAGATCAGATAGTCTGTTACAAAATTTCACTGACGAGTGAACCTTTCCAAGTGTCCAACCGATTTTCTAACGAAATGCGTTAGTTTATAGGTAATCGACCATGCTGATTCCGAATATCATAGCCGTTTTTACCCATAGACCTTTTCTAACCGGTTTCTACAAAACCGGTTTTCCAGAAACTTCTAAAAATCCTCAAGAGTTTTTCTAAATAAGTCACAACTGTAGCCCGCGAAATTCTAATTAAAATGAGACATCTCCCAGCTCTATACGACCTTTCTTTCCAAAGTTATAGAATTTACAAGAAAAGCCCTAAAGTCATCTTTCCTT